AGTAGTTCAGAAAATATTAATAATTTAACTGCTACTGATCAAAATTATGATGATAATGCACATGATAATAATTTTGAAGATAATGTACATGATAATAATTTTAAGGTTGCTATTAATATTCCTCATTCTGTAAGTCGACATAATACTACAAGGATCCGAAATAAACGTCGCACTTCTGCCAAAGCCGTAGGTTTATTAATAATCATTTAATTATTAAATACTTTTATTGATTATACTTATTTTATAAATGTATATTTCATTTTAGCCACGAATATTAAGCAACAGAAAAGAAAATGATTCTACCTTATCAGTAAAAAGATCACTTGAAGATTTATTTCTCAAAAAAAAGTGTGATTGGAATCCCAAAAAATTCACAAACACGGCAGTTGCAAAAAGATTATGTTTGGATGACAATCCTATTGAAAATAGTTTAAAATTGTATAGATAGATTAGTAATCAAAAGATTAGAGCAAAAAGTGCAAACGATGTTAATATTTAGCTTCTAATTATGAATATTCAAAGTCATTAAAAGATGATAATACTTAGCTTATATTTACTATACAATATACTGTACTGTTCGAAAAATGAAAACTTCTTGCTTATTAGATATATGTATAGATTTTTATACGTATTATAGCAAGGTTATATAATTAAATGATATATATAAATAAGCTATAATTAACTCTGAATTGATCTCGAATCACTGTAAGTTGTAGCAAAATCTGATAATTCAAATTCTACTTAATATATTATCTAGAATCATGATAATTTGTTAGTAGTTCTTATTAAAGCTCACTTTATTAAATTGCTAAATCCCAATATATATATATATAGATTAGTAAACTAAGTTTCCTGAACACGATCGAATACAAAGTTCTTAAGACTTTATGCATCGAATTGAGTATTATATATTTATTATGTGTAAAAAGCATAATATTCATAGTCATTGTCAAATATAGTGCAGATGTAAAAGCACGTGCTTTGTAAAATCTAAGCGTAACTAGCTTATAAGAATCAGAATAATTTAAGAGATTGCCTTAAATTTGGTGTTAATTCTGATACAAAATATCATATTTTAGTGAAATTCTATTTTGATACATGCAAGCACGTACGTATATAAGTACTGTATATTGTAATGGTACTATCAAGTGGTTATAAATGGTTATTTCGAGACAGATCTAACAATAATAATTAACAAAAAGGAAATATAAATAAGTATATATGATGGTTAATAAAAAAAACATTATTAATTTTATTTTATCTTTCTCTAGGGTCGAATTAGAATTTATAAAAACTTTTATTATATGAAACTAATCGGTTTTTTATTAAGATAAGTAGAATTATGAAAATAACACGAACTAAAACTATACTAATATCGTTATTTATGCAAATGACTACTAGGAACATCAAGAGTATTATTTTCTCAAGAGTTTCAGAAAGGTATCATTTATATAGCTTTTCTTTACTTGTTGGTTTGATACTTCTCCTGGCAGTTATTAACTTCCCCATTGACTCTCTGCTTTCTCAGGCGGTTATAAACCCTTTATGTTGGTTAATAACCAACCTGAATAGTCAGTTTATCAGTCTAT